GGGGGGGGGGGGGGTGTTTGACATTTACCTCCATTACTAGTGACCTCAACCTCTCAGCCCTGGGAGAGAGGAGGTCTTTCAAACAGCCAGCTCGGGGGAGGGGGGGGAATGACACCCTGAAAGAGACCAGCAGGTAAATATGTATTCTTAAGCCCCTAGATGCACTGTGCAAGCCTGCATTAGCTCATGTGCAGACTAAGGGGGCGGAGTCAAGTGTCGACGCCAAGTTCGGCACCCTGCCCTCCCACACCCAAACACACCCACCTCTGGAGGCTGTTGGCAGGTGCATGCCCCCACACGACTGCCTGGCGGCCCCACCCACCTCCCCATGGCATTTAACCAACGAATGGTGTGCTGGCATTGCCAGGCGTGTGCAGGGCTGCCCGCCAGCCTCAGGGCACCAGCCAGCATCCGCGCGCTGCCCCTTTAATTACTTTCTTTGAAATATTAGGGGACTGTATCAAAACATGGACATTTTTACACTAATGACTCGGCCAATGTCACCCACCAGCTGTGCAGAGCACTGAACTGGACTCTTAACACTGAGGCTAAAATCTATTTATCTCACATTCCTGTTTGTCCTACTCCCGTTTCAAGACCTACTGGGAGTGCCCTCACAAAACAAATAATAAAGAAGCAAGCCACTTTGCTTCCGGCTGAGCTTTTGGCCCATACTGACCGTCTGCTGCCACCAGGGGGCATAGTGGTTAAAAAACTCTGCGTCTGTTCTCCAGAAGGCTACAGGACCAGGGTGTAAAGGCCTCAGGACAAAAGGCCGCTGAACTATAACGTGTGACATTGCACGCTGGCAGTTTTGCATTAAAATATTAAACTGCACGTGAAGCGTAACAGATTTTGAGAAAAACAACCCGTGGGGATTTTAAAAGACTAACCGCAGAAAGAACTAGTGACTTATCAGCTGGTCTGCACTGACCACCCCTGCGGTTTGCTCTAGTGGAGGGAGCAGGAAGCGAGGTTATGTACAAAAACATGCCCCCCCCCCCCCCCCCCCCCACCAGGCTTGGGCGGGGGTGGGGGGGGGTCCTTTAAGATAAGAGTACAAACATGAGCCGTTTAATCCAAAACGGGGCGATTGAGACGGAGGTGAAGCGGCCTTACTTTATCAGGTAGCAGCAGAAGAGCAGACTGAGAATGAAGACGAAGATGGCCGTCCCGAACACCACGATGTAGATATTCAGAGGAAGGTTCT